TTGGGACGCTGGTCCCTGTCATGGCGTCCGCTGGAACACCGACGCCGGCACCGACGGAGGGAGCCCCTGAAAATCAGCGGGTTCAGTCGGCGACAGGTGAGGGGCGGGCGTCGGAAGGGGAGGAGAAGCCTTCAGGAGCAGCTGGGCTCCGGGGCTCCGCGGGGGCCGATGGGCGCTCACAGCCTGTGTTCCTGCATGTGTGCCGCAGGAGCCCTGGTGGAGCTCTCCCCGACCCCTGGTGGCCTGGCCCTGGTGAGCCCCTACCACACTCACCGGGCCGGGGACCCCTTAGACCTCGTGGCGCTCGCCCAGCAAGTGCAGAAGGTGAGGAGCGCGGCCGGGGAAGTTAATCCATCTTCGTTCGCGTTTTGTCCCGCCTCTTAACAGTGCGGGCGACAACTATTTGGTGTGGGGGTAGTATTTGTTAGTGTGTCCATTTTATAGGTCAGGAAAGCGGATGGGCTCGAAATAGATCTAAGACCAGAGGCTCCTTCGACTGACACTTGAGTATTATAATGTGCCTTCGTGGAAGGTTTGAGCAGCACTTTAAAAAATCGTTTTATTGGGGGCTCTTACAGATATAACAACCCATAAATTAGTTATATCAAGCACAGTTATACATGTTGCCATCGTCATTTTCAAAACCTCATCTTTCTCCTTGAGCCCTTAGTACCAGCTCCTGTTTTTTTCCTCCCCCCCCCTCCCCCACGTACCCCTTTCAATATTCATGGTTTTCTCTGCGTTCTAAGGAAGCCCTGGAAGTTTCAGGATGACCGTAACCCACCTTATTCCAGTTTTGTTAGTTGCCATCTCCCCGTTCTAACGCACAGCGACCGCACGGGTGCAGAGTAGAGCTGTTACAGGCCGGGACCCACTCGCCGGAGAGTCCAGAGAACTGCACCTCCCTTGGAGCGCCCTAGCCGGCGAGTGGTTATGCCTTGGGATGCTATCCTTCGTGCCAGGAGTTGGACCCCGCTAGCGTCTGCACGAAAAAGAGAGGAGGCCTTCTTCTCTGGAAAAGATTTGAAACCAAACTCACTGCTATCAAGTGGATTCTGAATCATAGTGACCCTGATGGACAGCGTGAACTGTCCGCGTGGGTTTTCAAGATGGTAGCTCTTGGTGGGTGTCACCCGACAGGTAAGCCAACAGCCACCAGGGCTCTCTTGGTAAAGTTACAGTCTCGAACGCCCCCAGGAGCAGTTCTTCTCTGCTGTAGGGTAGCTCTGAACCAGAAAGAAGTCACTGCCAGTGAGTTTGGTCTTTGGTGTGAGGAAAAGCAAGGACTCTTAAGTTTTGCCCAGCGGCATCCGTCCCTGCACACAGGATTCTTTTTTTTTTAATTAGGGGCTCATACAACTCTTATCACAATCCATACATACATCAATTGTGTCAAGCAC